CCCAGCGCCGGTACAGCCTGCTGAACACTACGTCCATTCGACATCCAGCACTGGTGACTGCCTGGACAACCAGGTCCTGCGTGAGGCACTGGCCAGTGATGGAGAAGATGAGTGGTTCCTGGCCCCACAGAGCTCTCAGTATGGCGCAGGAGACAAGCAGGAGCATAGACAACCAACATACGGCATGACTAGACATGGTGAGGAAGCAAAGGGTGTTATGGGAGAAGGGACACCCAACCTGCTCCTGGAGGTTAAGCAGCACAGTTCAGTCAAGACCTGAAGGCTGTTAGAAGGTGGCCAGGGGAGTGGCACGTGCTGCTGGCAGAGGACAGAGACAAGAGCTGCATGGCAGGCTTATGGTACGCTAAAAAGGCCAGTACAGCTGCATGAGAACGTGTAACAGGGTTAGTGAGGAAAGGCAGAGAGGCTTGTAGGCCCGAGACAGAACCGCAGACCAAGATGGAGTTTGAATGTTGTCCTAAGAGCACAGGGGAAGCCACAGAAGGGTTTTAAGAAAAGGAGAGATGTAATCAGCGCATGTTACAAAGACAATTCCAGCTATACTGCAGAGAACTGATGGCTGGGGGGTTGGGGGGGTGGGATGCCCACAAAGCTAAAGGCCAGTCACAGGAGGCAGTCCCAGAAATCCCAGGGAGAAATGTCAGTGACCCAGAAGAGGAAGGGGGGCTGGGTTAGTGGATTTGCGGTAATAAGGAGGCAGGACTGATAACACAGGTGACTCAGTCTGTGGGGAGAAAGTCAAACATACAAGGCCCTCACACTTGCTGGGCTGGGCCCCTTTATCTCCTTGCTTTCACCACAGCAAGCCCCGATCTCTCTTCTCCTAATTATGGTGCGAGAACCTGACTCGGCCCACTCTGCTCTGTTGTCCCCTTCTCAGCTCCCCTGGCAAAGAAGGGAAAAGAGAGAACCAGAAACATGTGGTTGAAGTGAACCAACTCAGTGGAATCCCACTGAAAGAGGAAGTGTTGGCGGCCGGTCCCTCCTACCACCGAAAATGCCAGCAGCCAGCACCGCCTGATCTGTGAGTGCCCTGGTGGGCTGGCAGGTAAGCCCAGGACCTGGAAGTTCTCTACCCACTATACCCACCCACCACCCTCCCCAAGAACTGTGCCCAGACACCGCTGCCGCCTCTCCGGCGGCTGCTCCCTCTCTCCAGCCAGGTGGCACTGGAAGGGCTTCCCAAGGAGCCTGAGCAATCTCGGTCCTCCCCGAGGCTGATGGATGCTTCTCGGTATCCTGTACTGACCTTTCTGTCCCGGTCGCCAGTCCTGTTTCCCTTCTGGACCCACCTAGCCCTGTATCTCCTGCACTCCTCCTTGCCCAGAGCCAGGACTCCTGGCAGGGATGCCTCCCCACTGGATGCCTCCGAGCCCCTCATGAGGCTGGCAGTGGGGAGGGGCCAGTTCCACACCTTCTCTGCTGCCACCACGCTCCCCACATCTCCCTATCGCTGCTTCTCCATGAACATCCAGCTGAGACTCCCCCGAGAGGTTCCTCCTGTCCTCCGGGAGCTCCCCTCCCCAGAAGTGCCACAAATCTATAAACTATATAGGGTTTGTATGTGACCTTTTGTGTTTTTATTATTATTTTTTAAGACTTTATTAAATATTGACAGAGAGAGACACAGCGAGAGACGGAACACAAGCACGGGGAGTGGGAGAGAGAGAAACAGGCCTCCCGCCCGGCAGGGAGCCCAATGCGGGGCTCGATCCCAAGACCCCGGGACCATGACCCGAGCTGAAGGCAGACGCCCAACGACTGAGCCACCCAGGCGCCCCGTGACCTTTTGTGTTTATCCTCTGTTGATGGACCTTAAATGCACAACATACGTACCTATAAAATCAGAAATACTTATGATCGGAACTTCCATTTTCATTTAAATATTTTATGCTTTCTTACATTCCAAAGATCACGGTACTTCGAGCAGAGCCACACAATCAAGTAACTCCACTTGCGTGTGAGTGTGCACAGTTCTCTGCAGCCTCCTGCGCAAACTAGCCTCCTCTGTCAGCCTGGAAGTTTCTGAAGGGCAGAAACCACACTGCCTGCTTCTCGGAATCCCCCATCTGACAAAGTCCTGCTTATTGTCAGATGGCATCTACACCACCTCCCTGCTCCGATCTCTGGGTACCTCCCGGCAGGACCTCAGGAGGGGCTGCCTGTTCTACCATCCCCCCCACGTCCTCACTGAGCACGGCGACATCACAGCAGGTCCTATGCCCCGAGCAGCTGTACTCCGCGATTTGGAGAAAAGGTATGCAGGGTTCCTCACAGAAGTCTGACACGGGTCAGGCCTTCAAGGATCTCACAAGAGAAGTCACACCTCTGTTAAGCGGTAAGTGTTTGAGCAAAGGTGTGTAAACTGAGGTGCCGCTGAAGGGGGTGTGTGGAACCATGGGGGCAATTTGAACAGATCGCCGTTTCATAAACATAGCTGTTCTACCATTGCACCCACCTATTCCGCTTTATACTCACAGGGAATATAAAGATAATCACCGCAGCCGTTTCTGACGGGGGGTGGGGGAGGTTCTAGGAAAGAAGCTAAAAGTCTGTCAACACGGGTCAACTAAAGAAGCTACGGTATAAACATCCAGCGGAATGCAGTTATCAAAAATAATATGAAAGTTCTCTGTCCGGACAGGAAAGGAACACCAAGGCACGGGTGTTAGAAAGTCACGAAACGATTCGTGTGTGACCTTACGTTTTACACACACAGAGCTGAACTACTTTTCTCGCAGGAACAGTTGCAGAGAAGAGCAGGAAAGGGATGGGGGGGTTCCCTTTTCACTCTCACACACACACTTCTGACACGTTTGCGTTTTTACTACTGTGCCAGAACAAGAGAAACAAAAGTTCACAGTAAGTGATGCCACAGCCTAGACATGGGAGAGCCTAACCAGGGGCTCTCCACAAGTTCCTCTCCAACTCCAAGGGCCACTAGGTGAGTGCATAAACACACAACTTTTCTCCCGCCAGTCTCAAGGACGAGAAGGTGGCACGGTGGGTGCTGTGGGGTGAACTGGAGTGTGAAGTCCCAGAGACCAAGATTCAATCCCAGGTCTGCTTACGACTGCTTGGCTGGTCCTAAGGAGGCCACTGGGCTTCGGTGGAAGATCTTCCTCGTCTGTACTGGGCAGCAGAGAGATACAGAGCATGGGCTTTTAAAAGCCCACAGACCAGCCCTGCCACCCACAGGCTGTGATCTTAGATCAATCACAGACTGTCTCTCCCTCAGGACCTCCCTTTCCTCTTCCCATTCTTTTCTCAAAAAGCCAGGGTGGGGGAATAGAATCACTCGCCCTCCCAGAATGTTCCAGGTATTAAATGATACCATGTATCTAAAGTGCTACATACAGTGCTTAGCACCTCATATATGCTCAATAAACAGCAGCTACCGTCATTGCTGCTGAGTGAGGGCAATGACACCTGCCCCGTCTCCATAATGGGGTATTGAGATCTAGCCAGATGTATGCTGGGAAAGAGCTCCGGAAACAGAGCTGAACACAAAAGTGAGGGGTGCTTACATAAGGATTCCTCTCCCACCTCAATGCCAAGCCTCAGCTACCACACAGCTAAGATCCCTAGTGGCGGGGGGAGGGGGGGCGATTATAGAATGCTCTTCATTCACCCTCTGGACAAAATTCTCATCGGTTATTTATTTGGGGGGTCCCCATATCAACTAGACAGGAAACCATGAACCAGAAGGGGAAAATTGGGCTGCTAGAAGTAGATACCGGCTTCTGCTAATTACACCACAGCCCAGGAACCCACAGAGTCCTTGTGGCCCATCCCTGGATCCCTTCAAATCCTCACAACTCTGATGCCCCATCCTCCAGACACTCCACAAACAGACCCACACTTCTCAAGGTCACGAAACCCAGCCCAACTCCTCAGGCTCTAACAAACATCATCCCAAAGCACACTCCTCTCCCAAGCTACTCCACAAACCATGGGAAACTTCCACAAACACATCTCCTCCCAGAGTCCTTCCGAGACGCTTCTTCAACACTGCCTGCTCTGCCAAATCCTCCCCCTGCCACCTTCCAGGTACCCCCACCCACCGTGTCCTCCTGTCTCCATCCCAGGTCCCCTTATCTCCACGCTGGACTCCAGCGCACTCCAGTCCAGGGTTCTCCACCTGACATCCTATCCTATCTCCACCTCCCATCTCAAGACCATTGCCCGCCGCACTCCTCCACATCCCCCAAACTGGAGTTTCCGCTCTGCAGCTCTTACATACAGGCTCCTAGAGCAAGTCCTGACCCTGTCCATGCTTCCACTCCCGGCACCCCACCCTACACTCGATAGTCACACATACCGGGGTCCCCAAAGTTTCGTCCTTAGGGGGAGGGCACACATTTTCCTCCTGGGACCCCCCGAGGCCCTCTTCTCATCGCGAGTCCTCATACAGGCACCTTTCATGCCCCCCCCCGCCCGCCCCGGTCCAAATGCTCTGAAACACACCCGGCCCCAGGCTCCCTGACTTCCTCTCCCCACTCAGGCCAGTTCCCCGTTCGACTCACTCTCGCCTTCGGCGGCTCCCAAGTTCTCCCGACGCCCCCTCTCCCACCCGAAGCCCATCAAGTTCCACCTCCAACCCTCATCTGGTCGGGGACGGGGGTGGGAACCCAGCGGCACCTTCCGGGCTTTTGCTCACTCTCAACGAGACCCCCCCCAACTCCTCCCACCACTCTCCGCTGAGTTCTCCTGGGCTCCCCTCAGGGCCCGAGGTCCCTCTCCAGGGAACCCGTCTGCCAGTCGGCTCACTCCCACACCAGCTCCCAGCCGGTTCCGGTCCCCTGACCCCTCCTCTCGGCCGGGCCCGGTCGGACCCTCCCGTCCCGGGGCCCCCCTCCCTCCTCGAGCCGCCAGGTGCCCTCAGGACCCCCCTCGGACGGCCCCTCACTCCGTCTCCGGGCCGGTCGCGGTCCCCTCCCGCCCCCCCCGGCCGTCCCGGCGGCCATTGCTCCAAGATGGCGGCGGCGGCGGCGGCGGGTGAGGCCGGGCCGGGCCGGGCCGGGCCGGGCGGGGGGTCGGGGGTCCCGGGGCGGCGCTTACCTGCAGCTCGGCGCGCTCGGCCTCCCAGCGGGCCTTCTCCGCTTCGAAGCGCGCCCACTCGTGCTGGATAAAGTGCAGGATCCCGGGCAGGCTCAGGGGCTCGGGCCCCGCCGTAGGCCCGGGGCTGCCTCCGCCGCCGCCTCCCTTACCAGCCGGGCCGGGCCCCGGGGCAGGGGCAGAGGGCGGGGCTGCCCCCGTCGGGCCGGGGCCCGCGCCGGAGCCCAGCGGGCGGCAGGAGGAGGCGGCGGCGGCGACCGAGGCGGCCGCTCGCTCCTCCATCATGGAGGCCCCGGGGCCGGCCCGCGCGCCCGCTGTGCCTCGCGCGCCTGCGCGGCCGTACCACCGCCACCCCCCCCCCCCCCCCCCCCCCCGCCCCCCCGGGGGGGGCCGGGGGGGGGGGGGGGGTGATGGGAACGAGGCCGGGCGCGCGCCTCGCCCACCCGGGTCGACCCCGGAAGCGCGCGCGCGCGCGCGTGCGGGGGGGAGGGAAGGGGCGGGGCGGAGATGCGCGCCCTGAGGAGCGCTGAGACCCGGGCCCAGCACGAGGGTCGCGCCTGGGAAGAGCGGGACTTTGGAAGGAGCCGCTTTCTGCCCCTCTCCTCCTGCTTCGCCGCAAAGAAAAATTCTAACCCCCTCCAGACCCAAACGTCACTCTCCTTGACACTGTCCCTCTGAGAGAAAGGGCGACCACCAGGGGTGGTTTCAGCAATGGCCCCGTGCTCTCTGATTCCTGGTCCAGGTCGGTAGTCATGGTAACCCTTCCCCAGCCTGGAACCGTCCCCCTTTGTGGTTATGGAGCCCCAAACCTCTCCTGTCTCTGCACCAGGAGGAGATTGCTAAGGTAACCTAAGTCCCTGGTGGTCCTTCTGCCTCTACCTTCATTTGGTTACTATGGCAACCTCACCTAGCACTCAGGTAGAAAGGACCCCAGCCCCAAGGACACTGATTGCTGAGAGAACACCTCTTTCCCAACCCCTCCCCCTAGCCACCTAGTTGGCATTACCATGGTAACCGTTCCCCCCCCCCATCGTGGGAGGTCCATGGACCAAACCAACCAGGTGTTTTTATTTAGAGAAGATGCTCTGCTGAGGAGTTGTTGCTATGGTTACAGGGCCTGGACCAGGAGGTGGAAACAGGCAAGGCCAACCCCTGGTTACTATGGTAACAAGGACAGTCCCCCTTCCCGTGACCCTAAGAACCAGGCCCACCAAGGTAGGAGACAGTTTTAAGATTGTGTCTCAGGATGGAGTAGGTCTAGGGAAGAGGTTGTCATGGTAACAGCTTTGGTCACTTCTAGCCCCACCTTTCTGGACACATTCATTCATAAGAAAGGGATGGTTATAGGTTGCTATGATAACTGACATCCTTCCCACCCATTCCTGAGATACTCCAGGTGGTGCCTGAGCTTATAGAACTTCAAAAAGTAAAGGATTCTCTGACGTTCTCATTGCCACTTTTGTAGGTAAGGTGAAATCATACTCTACTGTGCAAAATTGGCTGATTTGGGGTTTTCTGGTTCTCGTTCCCTCGGCAGTGCAGCTGAGCTGGGCTGGAACCGCCCACCCGGAGGTCCTGCAGCACCCTAGGAGGTAAGAAGTTCCTCAGTGTCACCAGCACTCCTGTGGAAACGGCCCTTCCCGCATATTGTTCATCTTCTTTGCCTGTCACATTCCCATTCCACCGATGCAGCAGCTGAGGCCCAGTCCAGAGCAGAGCTCAGGCTGGGTGAACCTAGGCCTAAAGTGAATCTGGATCCACTTACATTGTGTTTTGTGAGGAATGGAGAGACAAAGTCTCAGCCTAACTGCCCTCTTCTCCCCTGACCACCTTTTCTCTTTCACACCCCCCGCTGGTTTCCTGACCTGTCTGTAAGTTCTGTGTGTGGTTTTTGTCTTCCTACCTCTGGAGGGCCTGCCCAGTGACCGCTTCGATCTTTCCCTGTCCCCAGAACACAGGGTCTGGCACAGACGTTACTCAGTAAACATCTGTCTGTTGAGTTAATGGGTTGAATTCATTAAGTGATGTGCCGTATTCAGCTTTGAAAAGCACCCGTCAGGTTAGGGCCGCAGAACGCTCACTGAAGGTGGACGGCGAGCTGGGCTGTCTGAGTGGACCCAAGAGAGTCAGCAGAACTTATTGGTTGAAAACATGACTCTAGAGCCAGTGTTGTGGGTCAGATCCGGGGTCCACCATTTCCCAGCTGTGTGGCCTTGAGTGAGTGACTTCACTTCTCTGTGCTGCTTCTTCCTCATCTTTAAATGTTATCACAACATGAAAATTAAACAAGGTAATTTAAGCAAAGTGCTTAGGAAGGTATCTGGCATATCATGAGCAGCTAGAATTATTGATACTATCATCGTATTGTGATTCAGAGAAACACAGAACATTCAGACCTTCAGAATCATCACTTCATACCCTTTGCCTCGATAAAGGAGTCTTGAGCCCTTATAGTTGGGGAAGTCAAGACCAACCGTGTCAGGGTACTGGATGATTCCTTTCTCTTTCTTCTCTGGGCCCCTCACCTGCTGGTCTGGCTATCGTAGCACTGGTCTCTGAGGACCCGATTTCTGTCCTCTCTCCTGCTGGGCACCTCATGGCCCAGAGTCAGCCAGACAGAGCATGCCGAGAGCCAGGGCCTGGGAGGCTCTCCCTGCGTCCTTTCTGTCTCTGAGCCACAGTTTCCCCGTCTGAACAACTGGAGTCAGTCATTCAGGCTGCACACGTTTACTGAGCACATGCTATGTGCCAGGCACTGAGCTGCGCTCTGAGCACACAGCAAGGAACAAAATAATAAGTAAAATCTACGTGATCATGACTAGGGGAGAAAAACGCAGGGATGGGGCACAGGAAATATGTGGGTGATAGGGAGATACGTTTTGAAAAAAGAGTGGCCAAAGAAAGGGCTCGCTGGACAGGTGACATCTGAGCAGAGACCCAAGGGCCATGAGGGAGGAGCCATGCAGATACCTGGGGGAGAGTGTCCAGGCAGAGAGAATAGCCGGTACTTTGGCTGAAGTCCCCTGGGCGTATTTGAAGACTGGTGTTTGGTGGCCAGTGTGGGGCTGGAGCTGACGAGTCAGTGGGAGAGGCTGGGGGATCACATGGGGCCTTATGTGAAGACTTTGGCTTTTCCTTTGAGTGAGTTGTAAGCCACGGAAGGATTTGAGCAGAGGCAAGACAGGATCTAATTTGAGTTTTCACAAGATCCCTCTGGGCGCAGAGTGGGGAACAGACTGGGGGTGGGGGGTGGAGAATGAGGGCAGAGCAGGAAGATGGTCTCTATAGAATCTTTAGAAGATTCTAGAACTGTCAGTGGTCTCCTGTGCTTCTGTGTACATAAGCTCTGAGAGTCTTAAGATTTTTAAGACCCCGAAGATTCTATGGTTCCAAAGGTTCCTCCCCCCACCCACGGTAATGTGAGGTCAGAGTTGTTGTTTGTCACTGTGTGCTGTGTGTCCGCTGTTGGGTCCCCAGTGCCTAGAACAGTGCCTGGCGTATTGTAGGGGTTCCACAGAAAGGGAAGAACTGAAGGAAGGAAGAATCAATCTAAGGTCCAGAAGGCGATTCCAAGGTTTTAAAGATTAAGAAGTTGCTCTTAAAGTGCAACTCAGATTCTTAAATGCCAACCGAGCTGGGTCAGAGAAGGGTAAGCAGGCCTGGGATGGGTAAAGACGGGAAGGAGAGCATTCCTGGTAGGAGAGAGAAAGCGAGCGAGGAGGCAGGACCCAGGGCCCCGAGCCACAGTACAGAGTTTGACTTCAGGAAACTGAGGCCTTATAGATTCGGAGAACCCTGTCCTTGGGCATCAATTTTCCACCAAGTGCACTTTCAGTACCCACCCGTGTGCCAGGAACACAGAAGTGATCGAGGAAGCCCTGGCTTTACCCTCCCGGGTCTCACAGTCTCGTAGGGGAGACAGACCCATCCCCGGATGATGCCCAACCAGAACGAGCAGGGCTGGGATGGGGAGCCCAGGGGCTTCAAGAGCCCACGGAGGACTTCTGACCCAGCCTGGGGTTCAGGGAGGGCTTCCTGGGGGGAGGAGGCATCAGAGCTGAGACCTAAAGCATAAGTAGGAGTTCTCGAGGAGAAAAGAGGCATGGGGAGAAGGGGTGTTCAGGAAGAGAATCTTCTAAGCTGAAAGAACAGAATGTACAAAGGCCTAGAAATAACATCTGTTGGAGGAAAAGTCCAAGGTGGCTTAGGCAGAGTTTGACACATGGCAGGAGATGGAGCTGGACTGGTGGGCCAGCAAGAGACCCAAGGTCACCCAAGGTCTTGTGGGAGGTTGTAAGAAACTTAAACTTTTTCCTCACGGTACTGGGTAGCCATGGCAGGTTCTGAGCAGGGAGGGAGAGGTCAGGTTTGTGCTTTATGAAGACCCCTCTGGCTGCCATGAGGAGCAGAGTTGGTCAGGAGACCAGGGGAGGCTGAGCCGGGATCTGGGTGGACCAGGGTTGAAGGGGGAGCTGTGGTCAGAAGTATTTAGGAGGTAGGAAGATTAGCTGGGTCTCTGATGTCCCCCTTTCTGGGAGCAGTAGAAACCTATGGAAATCCCTCCTGGGGAAATTTTTTTTGAGTATTTATTTGCTCAGAGCCCAGAGAGTGAGTTAGCGTGTTGTAGGAGTACTGGAGACCAGCCGAGCTAGCTTCCCGTTGTGATGGGGACAGTGAGACAGCGCCATCTGGGGGTTGCTTAGGAGTGCGGGGATGAGTGAAGGGTGGGTGTGTCCTATGGCCCACAGCTGCTCATCAAAAGAGACTACCCACTCCGCTTTTATTTTTTTATTTTTAAGATTTTATTTATTTGACAGAGAGAGACACAGCGAGAGAGGGAACACAAGCAGGGGGAGTGGGAGAGGGAGAAGCAGGCTTGCCGCGGAGCAGGGAGCCGGAGGTAGGGCTCGATCCCAGGACCCTGGGATCATGACCTGAGCCGAAGGCAGACACTTAACGACTGAGCCACCCAGGCGCCCCTCCACTCCCCTTTAAAAAAAAAAAAAAATCATTATTTTATTTTTATCCTTTTATTATTTGATAGAACTTAGCATTCAAAGTATTTTTGTTTTTATTTTTTAATTTAAGGTTTTAAATTCTAGTTAACACATATGGTAAAATTGCTTTGTGTTTGTTTTTTTAAGTAGTGGTCAATATTAAAAATTGGGACAGTTGTGACTTAAGAAAACACTTCTAGCTTCTCTTGCAAAACCAAATCGATCTGGCTGACCACCGGGAAAGAGATGGCCAGATGGCACAGGATTTGAGGAAGTGAGAAGGGGACAGTGGGGGAGGGGCTTGGCGGGCCAATGCTGAGGCAGCAGCCTCACCCGGGAGCCAGGGCCAGAGTGTGAGAGGGACAGGAGAGACAGATCGGGGGCGGGAGCTTCCTGGAGGAGGGAATGGTGGAGCAGAAGGTGCAAGCTGGGCCTGGGAATGGAGTGGGACATTTATAACTGAACCCAAACCTGAATGAGAAGTTGCCAAAGAAAAGGACAAAGATTAGTTGCGATTGAACAAGGAAGAAGGGAAGGTGAAACACTGGATAAAACCTTTTCTGAGCACCAGGCTCTGTGCTGGGTGGAACTAGGGACCCAGCAGGGATTGAAACAAGCTCAGAACCTACCCAGTGGGCGGATACAGACCTGTCCCCACGCAGAAATGCCGTAGAGTGGTGGGCTAGGGTGGGACAGCTGAAACCAAACAGAGAAAGGGCTGGGAAAGAAGGGCAGCGCTGAGGATGGAGGGGGGTGGGGGGGGTAGGAGGCTTCTGACAACCAGCTCCAGCCTCGTCTTTCGTCCTCCCCTCCCCAGGATGCCCTGGAAGCCCAGCTAGGGCCCGACTTTGGCCCCATGCGTCTCACCCGCTGCCAGGCTGCCCTGGCAGCCGCCATCACGCTCAACCTCCTGGTCCTCTTCTATGTCTCATGGCTGCAGCACCAGCCCAGGAACTCCCGGGCCCGGGGTCCCCGCCGTGGAGGGGCTGCCGGCCCCCGCGTCACCGTCCTGGTGCGGGAGTTCGAGGCCTTTGACAACGCGGTGCCTGAGCTGGTGGACTCCTTCTTGCAACAGGACGCAGCCCAGCCCGTGGTGGTGGCCGCCGACACGCTCCCCTACCCGCCCCTGGCCCTGCCCCGCATTCCCAACGTTCGCCTGGCGCTGCTCCAGCCTGCCCTGGACCGGACCGCCGCGGCCTCGCGCCCCGAGACCTATGTGGCCACCGAGTTCGTGGCCCTGGTGCCCGACGGGGCGAGGGCCGAGGCACCGGGCCAGCTGGAGCGCATGGTGGAGGTGCTCCGGGCGGGAGGGGCACGCCTGGTGGCCGCCCCCGTCGCCTCGGCCAACCCTGCCCGGTGCCTGGCCCTGAACGTCAGCCTGCGGGAGTGGACGGCCCGCTACGGCCCCGCGCCCTCCGCGCCCCGCTGCGACGCCCTGGACGGAGACGCCGTGGTGCTCCTGCGCGCCCGCGACCTCTTCAACCTGTCGGCGCCCCTGGCCCGGCCGGTGGGCACCGGCCTCTTCCTGCAGACGGCCCTGCGCGGCTGGGCGGTGCAGCTGCTGGACCTCCAGTTCGGCGCTGCGCGCCAGCCCCCCCTGGCCACGGCCCACGCGCGCTGGAAGGCGGAGCGCGAGGGGCGCACGCGGCGGGCGGCGCTGCTGCGCTCGCTGGGCATCCGCCTGGTGAGCGGGGAGGGCGGGCGCCTCGAGTGGTTCGGTTGCAGCAAGGAGACCCCGCGCTGCTTCGGGACGGTGGTGGGCGACACGCCGGCCTACCTCTATGAGGAGCGCTGGACGCCCCCGTGCTGCCTGCGCGCGCTGCGCGAGACCGCCCGCTACGTGGTGGGCGTGCTGGAGGCGGCGGGCGTGCGCTACTGGCTGGAGGGCGGCTCGCTGCTCGGGGCCGCCCGCCACGGGGACATCATCCCGTGGGACTACGACGTGGACCTGGGCATCTACCTGGAGGACGTGGGCAACTGCGAGCAGCTGCGGGGGGCCGAGGCGGGCTCGGTGGTGGACGAGCGCGGCTTCGTGTGGGAGAAGGCCGTAGAGGGCGACTTCTTCCGCGTGCAGTACAGCGAGAGCAACCACCTGCACGTGGACCTGTGGCCTTTCTACCCCCGCAACGGAGTCATGACCAAGGACACGTGGCTGGACCACCGGCAGGATGTCGAATTCCCCGAACACTTCCTGCAGCCTCTCGTGCCCCTGTCCTTCGCTGGCTTCGTGGCGCAGGCGCCTAACAACTACCGTCGCTTCCTGGAGCTCAAGTTCGGCCCTGGGGTCATCGAGAACCCCGAGTACCCCAACCCGGCACTCCTGAGTTTGGCGGGAAGCAGCTGAAGCTCCAGCGCCCGCTCCTGGGGTCTGAAGAACACTCATGCGCGGGGAGCTGCCCTTTGCTTTGGCGCCGCTGGCATTTGGTGGGCGGGCCGGGGACGGGCCTGGACTTCGAAGACCTGCCCTGCCCAAGATTTCCAAGAGCTTGGGTTTTATTTAGAGCACGGACAGTTTTATAAAGAGGAAAAAGTGTACGTTCTGCGGCTGGACTACCGCGATTAAAACCCCGGCTCTACCTCTTACTAGTGGGGCCGGCCTGGGAGAGTGTCCCAGTTTCTGGGTGCGCATCACTTTCCTCCAGGATTCAGTGAGTGCACTCGCAGTGTCTCGCTCGCAAAGAGCCCGCAGGACACTTGGTTGCTGGGGTAGCTTCCGCCACTAGAGGGCGCCTTTGTCCTGCTCTGGGGCCAAGGCCGGAGCAAGCCCGGACCTCCCCGTTCCCGTTAGAGAGCCTTTGGTCTCTCTAATCCCCCGTACCTAGAGGGACAAGATGACTATCTCCCTTCTTCCAGAATGCGACCTCCTTGCTTCCTGGGAGAGCCCTGTGAGAGCCCTGTGAGATGCATGCTGCTCTTAACCCCATCTTACAGAGGAGGAAACAGGCTCAGCCCTGAGCTGCAGCTGTGGTTAGGAACCCAGCTCTGGATGCCAGACTCACTCCATGTTAACTGCGTTACCTCATTGTAATGCTCCGCACCTGTTGGCCCACTTGCACGGCGGGATAAACAGCAATCCTAGCTCACATTACTCAGCACGTACGGTGTGCCCGGCATCCCTCTCAGTGTTGGACACGGATTAACTGATCAATCTCTCACCTCAACCCTCTGAGGCGGGAGGGAGCTGCTATTATTTCTGTTTTACAAGTGAGCACACTGAGGCGGGAATGGTAAAGTCACTTGCCCATGGTCAGACAGCTTAGGAAGTGACAGAGCAGGGACTCGAACCCAGTCAGGCTGGAGCCCACACTGAAGTTGGGTACTCTGCCCCCCTCTAGTAACGCAACATGAGAGGGAGGGTCCCGGGAGGCCGCAGCACTTAGCAGGTGAAGCCATGGCGGCCTTCCTTTTGTGATCATGCACCCAAGAGTAAATGGTGTTTGGGCAAGTATCCTGAATATGTGTATTTATTTATAAGTTATATACAGGTACTACTATCATTCTGTATATTAGTAATGAGGCTTAAATTATCCCATTTTAAAATTTAAAATAAACCTAGAGGTTTTTGTCTACCTGGCTCATCTCAGTGACTTGTCTCGCACACCCCCTGGGTGTGTGCACCCAGCTTTTGGGACCACGGGCTCTGGGGCGGGAGAGGCCTGGGGTCAAAACCCAGCGCTGCCAGTTTCTCCCATTGGGAACTTGGGCCGTGGTGACCCTGCCTCTCTGAACCTCTGCTTTGCACCTGGGAAACGCGGGTCATGAATGTTCACCCCCCAGGGGTGCTGTGAGCCACTTGAGTGGAAAGGGCTCAGGAATCAAGGCTGGGTTTGGCTCCTGGCGTGGCCACACTTATTTTCTTTGTGATCTTAGGCAAGTCAATGCCTCCCCGAACCTATAGGTTGGGTGTGGGGGAGGGGTGATATTGCAGAAGCAGGAAGCCCTTGGAGGAGGAGGCGTCACAGACCAGCAAGAGAAGATAAATGGAAATCTGGCCCACTCTCAAATGGGGCTCCCACATCCAAAGTCTGACTTCTTAGAACACAGCCTCTGTTTTTAGCCACTGAACCCGCAAATGGCTCCCAGAGACTGTTGGGTTTCCATGGAGCATTCTGGAAACATACGGGGATGATTTGGGTTATCACTGCGATCGGGTGGTGCTTTTGGCTCTTGGGAGGCATAGCGCAGGGATGGAGATGTCATAATATGCAGGGCTCTCCACATAATAAAGCATTGGCCCTTGTCACATACGGTTTTGAAATGTCCCGTTGGACATTCACGAAGGAAGAGTGATGTTCAAAATCGTTTGCAACTGGTACGGTGATATAAATTAATATATACGTCAATATATGCATCAAAATGTTTAAATATTTTTTTCTTCTCTGAAGAATGGGAACGATCTCTCTATATATACATATTTCTTTAAATTGTTTGCCAAGAACATAAGCTGAAGCTCAAATCATTCTTAAATCATGCAATGATTTTGTTTTATTTAGAAACTTACTTAGAAATTGTTGGTGCGATTTCTTGATTGATATGCTAAATATATATACACATATATTCATTTATTTAATTACTTTATTTATTATATTAAATATATATAAAATAATCTTGGCTTAGCTGTGATTTGATAAGAAAACCACATCAAGTGCTTCTGGCAACTTCCCATTAAACTGAGTGCCATTGGGTGACTTGGGGTCTCAACAGATAAAGAATTTCTCTTAGCACCATCCGTAGTGTTTTGGTGTTTTCTCCTCTCTTCATTGTTCCTGAACTAATAACAATTACACTAAAAACTTTTGTAGCCTTTATAATACTGCCTGACAGCTTTGTGTATTCAGTCTCTTTATGATCGACTAGGTAGAAATAGGACAGAAAACCTATTGCAGCAATTAACTTGAATTAATGAGTTTGTATTAGGATATGTTATTACTGAATTTTAGTGCTTTCTCAATTCCTTTTGCATGATTAGCCAGCCAGGAGTATTTCGATATTGTAAAAACCAGCACATCCATACTAGTGCATATTAACCAAACTTTAGCCTCATGTGGAAAAACTTGGTTAAGAATTATCTGAGCCCCAGGGGCGCCTGGCTGGCTCAGTCGGAAAGAGCACGTGACTCTTGATCTCAGGGTCGTGAGTTCAAGCCCCACGTTGGGGGTAGAGATGACTAAATAAATAAACTTTAAAAAATAAATAACATAAAATCATGTGCAGGTGGGTTATAGTATCTATGACCTTCATTTCAGCAGAGCCCAGAGGATTTTCCCAGAGCTGACAAGCCAACATGTGGCCGTGATGTGATTAAAGCATGAAAATATTACATTATAGATTACTGATCTGTTGGTAGACGATCATCGCCATGGACCTCCTGTTATTACCGCCTGGCTCTCCATGGGGACTCCCTGGACTTCTCTCCCCCCACTCCCCCAGCAACCAAGGGGTTAACACTAGGCACAGCCAGAGGGAAGGAGGTTCAAGTCTCTACTGCTGTTGGACCCTCTGCTCCCTTTACCAAGCAGTAAATATTTGTGTATCCTCCTGGGCATTACAAAAGATTTGCTATGGCAAGTCAATGGCTGGTAAACCACCTGTGGACAAATGCACCTTTATATACAATGGCCCCAAACCAGAAACCACCCAGTGTCCGTGTCAGGTGGGTGGATACACAAACCTGCACCCAGACAGTGGAATACTCGTCGGTGATTGAAAACAAAAGGGAATAAACCGATATGTGCGCGAACGTGACTAAATCTCAAAGGCATTATGCTAAGTAAAAGAAACAGGAGGGGCGCCTGGGTGGCTCAGTTGAGCGACTGCCTTCGGCTCCGGTCATGATCCAGGAGTCCTGGGATTGAGTCCCACATCGGGCTCCCTGCTCGGCGGGGAGTCTGCTTCTCCCTCTGACCCTCCCCCCTCTCATGCTCTCTCTATCCTATTCTCTCTCTCAAATAAATAAATAAAATAAAAAAGAAACAGGACACGAAAAAGCTACCTGCTACAGGATTCCACTAATGCAAAATTCTAGGAGATGCAAACTAATCTTCAGTGACCCAAAGCAGATCAGTGGTTGCCTGGGCCTGGGGGCAGAGGGAGGGACAGAATGCAAAGGAGCACCAGGCTATTTGGGGGTGCTAGGAATATCATGTATCTTGATTGTGGTGGTTTTCAATATCTGTGCATCTGTCAGTTTTATCCAAATACTTACTTTCATGGATATACTTTATTGTATACAAATTATACCTTAATAAGGTTGACACCCCCCCCAAAAAAGCAGATTGGGAGAGGGAGTCCAGCAGGCCTAGAAACATTGTCGCAAGGAAAGACAAAGGTGTGGGGCGCCTGGGTGGCTCAGTCGGTTAAGCGGCTGCCTTCGGCCCAGGTCGTGATTCCAGGGTCCTAGGATCGAGTCCCATGTCAGGCTCCTTAGCAAAGCAGGGAGCCTGCTTCTCCCTCTCCCTCTACCTGTCGCTCCCCCTGCTTGTAACTCTCTCTAATAAAAAATAAAAAATCTTAAAAAAAAAAAAAAGAAAGAAAAAGGTGTGATTACTCTGTGCCTGCCAGGCCCCCATCCTGGCCCAATGCAGGGCTAGTGTGAGGACTCCCTCCCAAGCTAGACTCCTTCGAAGGAGCAAGAGGGGTGTCCCAAAAAAAGGGGTGGGTGGAGCCATGGAGAAAGGGAGAGGGAGGTGGGAGCCGGGCCCCAGAGGATGGCTGTCCAGGTGCTTTTCCTTCTTTTCTTATGTAACCTTCACCAGTGACCTTGGGGTGAGGCATTAACAGGGCCATGGTCATCAGAGGATGAGACTCCACAGTGCTTAGGTAAGGCGACAGGGCTGGCGGGCAGCAGAAACAGGATCTCAACCAGGTAACAGCCTCTTCTGGCCAGGTGGCTCTGTAGCTGGAGCCCGATTCATTCATTCTGCAAATATTTATTGAGTGCCTACCATGCACAAGGCACCATGCTGTGCTCTGGGCAGACAGTGGTGAACAGGACAGAGGTGGCTCCCTCGTGGAGTGCACATCCTAGTGGGGACCAGGTCTGGGAGCCCCTGTCCACACTCAGAAGGCTTGAAATGGTTCCAGATTTTTTATTTTTAAAGATTTTATTTATTCATTTGACAGAGAGAGACACAGCGAGAGAGGAAACACAAGCAGGGGGAGTGGGAGAGGGAGAAGCAGGCTTCCCGCAGAGCAGGGAGCCCAATGTGGGGCTCGATTCCGGGACCTTGAGATCATGAAGGCAGACGCCTAACGACTGAGCCATCCAGGCGCCCGGTTCCAGACTTTTTAAATGACCCAGATCAGTATCTTAGGCAAATTAGTGGCATGTGCCCAGTAAGTCTTGAAAATGGAATTGAAAAACGGGGAAATTGGAACTTGGCCTAGTTATGGATTCCATATATGTATACATATTGTACATATAGGATATGGGATATATTACACATGCGTGTATCTCTTTAGACAGGCATCCTTCATAATCTGATCCATTCCCCCAAAAGCATTAAATAGAAAATTTGAAGATAGGGCGCCTGGGTGGCTCAGTCAACTGGTTAAGCGTCTGCCTTCAGCTCCGGTCATGATCCCAGGGTCCTGGGATCAAGTCCCACATCGGGCTCCCTGCTTGGCGGGAAGCCTGCTTCTCCCTCTCCCACTCCCCCTGCTTGTGTTCCTGCTCTCGCCCTCGCTCTCTCTCTCTGTCAAATAAATAAACAAAATCTTTAAAAAAAAAGAAAGAAAATTTGAAGATAAACAACTATTTTAAGTGGGGAAAATAATGCACTCCCAGCTCCTTCCAACAACCCCAACCAATTTCCCCAAATACCGTTAAAACTTTTTTTTTAAGATTTTATTTATTTATTTGAGAGAAAGAATGAGAGAGAGAGAGAGCATGAGAGGGGGTTGGGTCAGAGGGAGAAGCAGACTCCCCGCCGAGCGGGGAGTCCGATGCGGGACTCGATTCCGGGACTCCAGGATCGTGACCTGAGCCGAAGGCAGTCGCTTAACCAACTGAGCCACCCAGGCGCCCCAATTACCATTAAAACTCTTAAAACACTTTTATAACCACCCACCAAGGATTTTGGCATAACAGAAAGCATTGAAAACGCCAATTACTTCATTATTCAACACTTAATGAACTCATTAGTGGTTATGTTTGTGTGCAATACACAATTTTGCACCGAATCAGATATGAATTATATTTTCCTTCCACACTGCAATGATCATGAGAGGTAACTAAATACCCCCCCCCCGCAAAATGCTGAAGATACTCAAGATACCATCTGTAATTGAACTCAGATTGGTGGTGCTTCCATGTACCTGGCAGGAGCCTACATAGGGCTCTGGGAGGGGAAGATAACATGTTTCAGCAATGTACAAGGCAGGATTGTTAGAGCAGGTGAGGCGCGATTGGTGTCATCCACATCCTGGACTCAAACGGGACTTAAAAACAGTTGCACGGGGCGCCTGGGTCGCTCAGATGGTTAAGCATCTGCCTTCAGCTTGGGTCATGATCCCGGGGTCCAGGGACCGAGCCCGTCTGGCTCCTGGCTCAGCGGAGAGCCTGCTTCTC